TAGCAGTAGTAGTAGGAGTAGTAGTTCTGATTCTTATCGTTGTTATGATTACTATTATTTTCTTAATAGTAGCGTCAATTGTACTACTGTTGTTTATTGGTCGATATTATTACTATGACTATCATTACCTAGATCGTTCCTAACATTCCGAGGCGTCGACCCGTCGAAATCTTTAAACTCTACACGACCCTGAACCTACGAACCTGACATAAACCCACGACCTGCGAAGCCCTCCACTCGTAAGCTGTTCCAAACCCCCACACACTTCCGAAACATGAGGTGTGATATTGTATTGGGCGCATGTTGCCCCGAAGTCAAAAACAGCTTACCACCATGTGTCTTGGGTGCGTGGTGGCTCTTATGTTCTTGTCCTCTTAAACGGCTTGTGTTCTGTTCCTGTGTGCCTTCTTATTCTTAGTCTCGGGCCCCTTCATGAACAACGGCGACAAAGCAACACCGTCATCTGAAGCGCTTACAAGAAACGTCGACAGGCTTCGCACTGATATGTCCTTTCACAATTTTTGGCTGCCATATGACCGGCGACAATAGTCCGTCCAAGTGGTCCTTCATTGGTCTTTCATATGAAGGGAAGACTACAAAATCTCACAGGGTCCTTCGACAAGAAGCGACGTCACTGAGAGCACGTGGTCTCTCAGTACGCTCCGAGGAGAAGCTGAGACTCACAGGAACCCGCGCCCTTGAGAAGCAACGACGAGGTCTTCTCCTTCGATCCCGCTTCATCAACAGCGAAGCCAACAGCTCGTCCACACACATTGATCCGCCGACCCACATGGCGAAGGATCGTTCCGAAACCCTGAGCCTTAAACACAAGCAGCCGTAAACCCGAAAGCTTCGTAAAGCCTACCTCAACCATAAGGCAACCCTAAGTGCAAACCCCAAGCTTTGAACCATCCCTGCCCCGCTCCTACAACCTCCGGGTCAAAACCCTCCTGAGCTCCTCATTCACCCTAAACCCTAAACTATTCCCACGCCCCAAACCATACCAACCATAAACCGCTCCAAAACCTCCCACTCCTGCTGCATTCCACGCCTCTTCCAAAACCATAAACCCCCTCAACCCGGACAGACACAAGCTAATATGAACCTCAATCACCGCTCTCAAACCCGAAACTCCTGGACGGTGCAGCACAACTACACTCTGAACCGTTCCCTTTTTTTGCTGCAGGCTTGTGAACCGTTCCTAAAAGCCTGAGCCCGCGAACACCCAAACCCTAACCCTCAAAGCATTCCACAAATTGACAAACCTTACGCCTTTCAAAAAAAAACCCTAAACCGTTCCCAAACCCGAAACCGTTCACGAGCCTTCAACCGTTCCGAGAACCTAAACCGCCCCGAAGCCCTGAACCTGTGTGCAGAAGTTTAACCCTCACACCGTTCCTAAACCCAAACACCTGAACCCTCGATGACACTCAAATCCTAAACCCTTCCCCAGCGCTCAAAGCCTAAACCCCTGACGTTCCTGAATCATGCATGGTGCCTAAACCCTGAAGCCTGAAGCAACCTGGAACCCGGGTGCTGGCGCTGCCTACGCAAAGCGAACCAAAAAAGAAGTATTCACGAAATTTCACCACGGCCTCATACTGACCCTCCGAACCCTGCGATATCACCTCTCGTCAAAAGAAAAGCACTGGGATATGCAATCATCTTTTCCACACTAATAACCACCGATGAAACCCAAACCCTAAAATTGCAGCCAGTCTGCCGCGCTCCGGCGCCACTTCCGACGGGCTGTCGGCCTGCTCTCCAGAATTTGCTCCGTGTTATCTCCCCGTGAGTTCTCAGTCTAGGTCCGAACCGCGCAAATGTACTTGGTGGGTTACACAGGTAGCCAGATAGATAGATATAGATAGATAGATAGATAGATAGTAGGTGGATAGCCAGGTGGCTGGGGATGATATGAAGCCAGCTCCGGTCCTAAAGCATGAAGTGCATCATGCAACAGCCCACCGCCCAGCCTTCTGCTCACTGGGGTAGCTGTCGGGGTAGCCTGCCCACGGGGCTTAATGCGGCTTACTATTCTTGTGCCTCTAGCGATGTTCGGCTACTGAACTGACAGCTTCATCTCATCAATAAAGCGGCGCAAGCAGAAGCGAAACTGGCACAGGGGATTCTGATCAAGGTGCTCCTACAAGCCCAGCGATGCTCATCCTGGCCTGGCTGCCACAGGGAATCGCCTCGCTGCCCGGCAGTTTCATGGCTCGACTCATACCTCAACACTCTCACGTGACTCTGACTCATGGCTGCACAAAGATCCCGCGATTCTGGACATTCTGGGCAGTATACCAACACAACTCGCACGTTTCTACAAATCAGTTCACTGCTTCGTGGTGTTCGGAAAGCCGAAGACGACAGCTTGACAAGTGTACATTGGAGAACATCTGATCGGAAGAGCCCGAAGTCTTCACGCAGACTTGGCAGTGAGGTCTGACAGGATATCGAAACAGTGCCATCCTAAGGGTCTCGCCATGCTGGGCGCGACCTGACACAGGACACCGAAACAAAACGCCACCCCGGCTCGCCCAAGCGCAGGGCCACCAGCTACTTCCCCACGTGTTGCCGGACCTTCGCACTTCAGAGTCTGACCAACAATGCACGAACAGCCATTGCAACAGCATCGCCCGTCTTAGATTTGCAGGGCAACTTTTTTGATCTTGGTCCTCGCGGTAGGACCTAGGGGTCCGTCGGTAGTGCAGCGATGAGTGAGTCGCTTGCGGGCACCGTTTCAGCATCAGATGGATCTTGCGGAACGGACTTGGAGCCTTCAGGGCAAGTAATTCACAAGGGCTGCTGAGAATGCAACGTATCACAGGCTTGAAACCGTACCTTCCTTGGCTCCCCCAGACCGCACACCACTCGCCTCGAGACGAGCCACCAAAACGGCGCCCAGTCAACGTTTGCAGCACAGTGCCTCTTCAACCTCAAATTCTTCCTGCCAATCCGTCTTCGATGAACGGCACATCTCAGACGCCGGAATTGGAATCATGGCCTCCTCCTCATCCCCATCACCTGGATCTTCCTCCTGGAACATGCAAGCCACCGAGTGCACTAGCCGCCACTAGCCGGCTCGCCGTGCCGGAACTGCTAGGATCGGCCGAATTCGTTCATGGTTGAAAACGACAGCCAAAGTAAATGTGCAACAGAGGAATTGGATTCGCGGAAAAGACCCGCTTTTGGACATTTGCAGATGAAGGATCCATTTTGCCGATTGCGAAGCCAGATTCACGGGTTTGGCGGCAGGCAAGTTTGAACTTGCCGAAGGATGAACGAGTAAAGTACAGATTGTTATTTCAAGATACTGGACAGCTGGGCGGGTCTTCACTGGGACGAACTCCCGTCATGCTGCGGCAGCTGTTAATTCACCAATCAGTCTGCTATGCTGCAGGAGCCCACTATACAGCAGCGTGTCAGCACATGTGAAGGCCAGGCCGTCGCCGAATTCAGGTGCCACGTTTCTGCGACCTCGGCAAAAATGCAGGGCAGCTTTCGAGCTGCTTCAGCTTGCAGAGTCGCGGCGAGCGCCTTCTCGATTCATATGTCTTCATGACGAAGGCACGGTTCCGCACCGCGTGACTCCAAAAATCTCTATGCTCGCCACTCGGAAGTGAAAAAGTCGCTCAGTGCCTACATCGCCACAGAGTAAGTAGCGCAAGCAGCCTCTGCGACATCACCTGTTCTGCCTGCAAACGGTCATCTCTTCTTCGCTTCACTAGATGTCTAACACTGATTTCCAACAGGCTGAGCAGGAAGAGGCCCTTTAGGTGGCCCAGGGTGGCCTGGAATTACAGGCAGGGTAAAAAGGAAAGGATGCTCTCGTCAAGGGTAGAGCCCCTGATAGGAGCCAGTGTTCACACACCTGTAGCAATGCCTTTGGGCATCGATGGGATCTCGGCAAAACCTGGACGAAAATCGGAACCCGAATCCAGGTCCTAAGCATGCCGGATAAAATTGAAGAATTATCTGTAAATGCTGGTAAGAACCTCCGCTCGGGTCCTGCTTGAGAAGAACCTTCCACATGTGTCTGCGCCACACAGATGCACAACTTAAAATAGGGAGCAGATGGGAGCAGGACTGAACGGATTCTATACCTGCGGGTCTCCGTCGGAAAAGTCTTAGCCACCCGCGAACCCTCAACATCTGGGGCCAGATCTTGTGAGGATACAAAGGCGAATTGCACACGGGTGGTGCAGCAATACTGTATAACGCCTACAAGCCTAGCTGTGCTGTCCGCGTCCTGGCCGACTGGCATCTGGCTGCTTTCAAGGTCCTCGCCATCCTAAATCTATCAGGCCGCCCTGACCGCCCACCCGGCCACCCCAGCCAAGCAGACCATGCGTCCAGCGTCGAATTGACATGCAGCAGTGTCTCGGCACTGCTCAAAAGACGGATTTCTCAGCATCTTGCGAGTGTTTGCCAGGGACTCCGGCATACGCATATCTAGATGACGGAGGTACGCCTTCGCTAGATTGCATGGTCACATTGCTTCCTTCTGAGCTTTTTGAATTTTGCTGGTGGGATGCTGGCGAAGCTTCGTCAGAATGTCAGGACATGCATCGACCCAATTGCTCCTTGAAGGTTGCCGTGATGGTGAGCCTGTCAAGGATGCGGGATGTCCGTGAGAATTGCTGCTCGGGCCGAAACATGAGGCCTGAAGCCGGCAATGACAGCCTGCTGCGGCCAGTCAACGAGGAGTAACTCGATGCCTTACAAAGTGCCATGCACAACGACGCCGAAGCGTGCAAAACTGCAGAAAATAGCATGCCATCCCTCCGAGCAGCAGTTTCCGGTCTGAATGCCAATGAGTTGAAGTGCCATCTTCACCACCCAGTTGGAATACAGGTCAACGCCTCAGATGCTTCCCACACCGGCTGCGCCCTCCATCGACTGAGCATATGGAGAATTCACTCTTTTCTTAACTTTTTTAGTCTACTCTTCGGCACGCAACTCGCTTTGCCACAGCAATTGGCCAGAGTGAGAAGACTTGCAGGCCGTCATGTCATGCTGCCGGGAGACTGACGCTGTACACCGGCACGTCTCCCACCATTTTAGTCTCATCCTGAGCGGAAGCATTAGCAGGAATTCGCTACGGTAAGTCCCGGTAAGTGCGAGAAAAATAAGCCTGCAGTACCAACCAAGGGGTCGGGGTTGACAGACAGGCATCCACGCAAGCTCCACTTCCGAAATATGGGCCGACATACTCCGCATCCTTCGGCGACTTGGCAGGAACAGGCAAGGGCACCTGATCAGCATCAAGGCCTCAAAACTGGACGACGTGCCAAAAGCATCTTCATGGTTTTCATTGGGCCAGTGGCGAGCCTTCACCGGCCGCACAACAAACTTTAGCCGCGAAGAAAGCGCATCTCCTAACACATGCTGGGTGCTCCTAAAGGCTTTTCGCGGCTTTGTCTCAAACTCCACTCATATCTCCCATCTGCTTCTTGCCTCGCCTGCAGCGAAGCACTGCTGAAGTGCTTTTTCATCGGCGTGCTTGCACAGGCACAGGAGCCAGGCGGCCCCGAATCCGAGCCACACGGCCACATGGGGCCCCGTCCTGCTACTGAAGAAACTCAGCTCGCGACAATGTCATGGAATCAAAACTAGGCATCGGTTTGTGCGCAGCAATGTGTCCCACACGCCATCTCCATCTCACGATAGATCCTCAGCTGCTTCAGTGCTGCTGCCAGCAGGATGCCTGAAGGTGCGTGGTTGCACCTAAATGAGAGAGGCGCGAGCGAGAGAGACAGAGAGAGAGGGAGAGAAAGCCAGAGAGAGAGAGCGAGCGAGAGAGCTATGAGTGGGTTCCTGTCACAGACCACCACCCGAAACGGGGCGCACCGTGATTCCGGATTTTAGCAAAGACAAAGTTGGCCCAGCTCTCGCGCGCGCGCACGCGCACCTGCAGTCCACCGGGTGTCTAACATGCCCCCCTCCCCCTCTTCCTTCCTTCCTTCCGGGCGTTTGGGGGTGGCAGACCCCCCCCTGCGCGCAAGCGCTACGCCATGGTCCAGTGTCGTTAGTCGGCGTGAAACATGAGGGACGACACCAGTGCATGCCAGGCAATCCCCCACTCACATGCAAACATGACTACTAGAACCAGCCTATCCCCCGCCTGGTACGCAACGAAGGTGCCTGTCCCTTCCCTGTGCTGTTCTCCTCGCTTCCCGAGCATTGTCGGGGGTACAGAGAAGTCACAAAGGGTCCCCTATCCGCAGGTACCAGGACTCACAAGCACTGCAATTAACCAAGTGAACGTTCAAGACACAACGCATAGGTGAGCAGGTTCTTTGACGGGGTCCCCTTTTGCGTTACTGCAACTCTCTCTCTCTCTCTCTCTCTCCTTCTTCTTCTTCTTGGTAGGTTTCTTCTTCTCTCTGCAGTGCTGAACAGAGAAAAGCTGGTGCTCTTCTCCGCCTTCGCGGGACCGAGTCCTGGTCCGCTTTCTCTTTCCCTCTCGCACTCTGCTACTTCACATCAAAACAGCGACTAAGAGATTTCACCGGGGAGCTTTAGCACATTGTTGGTATCATCAGCAAGCTCGCGCTTGATGAGGCATGCACTGACAAATCTGCTGGCCGCCTGCAGCCTGCGAGAACACAAGAAACTAGTTTGTCCGTGCTCTTTCGAAGCATTGCGCAACTGCTGTCGCGACCTTGCTTCATGGATAGTGCTACAACTCCGCAGTTGACCGAGCAGCTCTAGCTTCGGCCATGCGAGCAAGCTTGCTTCAGTGCTCCAATCTCCGGACGCTGTCAGGACCTGCAACTCACCGACTGAGAGATCGAGTTGGGGTTGCCCGAAAGTGTCCCCGAGCGTGCGGCCTCTGAATCGGGAGGTACTTCCGGCTTCACATCCGGCTGCGTCTCATTGGGTGCTTCGATCAGCAGGTTCTCCCTGGGAGGCTAAGAAGGTCGCATCGCGCAGACTTCTTTGACACAGAGAAACGAGGAAGGCACCCAGACAGAGGAGACAGAGAGAGAGAGAGA